AGCGGGTAGAGAAAATGCCATTTGTTTCAAGCTTCCAATACATCAAATTGGGCACGGTAGAGAAATGGACGAAGGAGAGTTGGTGTGAGAGTGATGACCACTCATTGATTTCAGCATCTTTTAAATTCCGTCTCAATCTCAAGTTCCAGCAGCGAGTGTCTTTTAGCCAATAAACACTGATGGGTGCTTCCTTTTTCATAGATAGAGCATAAAAAGGGGGTAGGTGAGTTCCAATGGTTCTTCATGCAGCCAGGTAGGTTTCCAAAAGGATATGTTACACCCATCTCCAACTTTGTATGCTATTCTGTCAAAGATCAGATTCTGAGTTCTAATGATCGCCTTCCAAGGTCCTTTAGCCAAAGGGATAGATGTAGCTATAGGCTTCAAGTTCCAAGAGGATTTTCCATATTTCACTTCAATGACCTGTCTCCAAAGAGAGTTCCTTGGAGAATGCACCACTGCATGGAGGATTTTTCATGTGTATGATCAAGATCCTCTAACACGTTTACACAGAATGCACCACTGCAAGCCAGCCAAGAAGCGAGAATGCCTCTAGATACGATATAAAGTGTTAACCCTCCCGTGCAAGACCTACCATGAAAAGAATTTGACTTTCTTGGAGACCCTAACCTTTCAGAGAGGAGAAAGAGGCCTCAAGTGAGGACAAAGGGACATATTAGATTTGAGACAACGAACTACAAGAGAAGTCCCCTGAAGAGTTGATGGTCCGAAAATAGAGTCCCCTCTCCTTGGACACACATGATAGGTACTCGAAAGCGAAAGAAAAGTTGTCACTTCCGCCACCTCTCTATCCGACAAAGGACAAAGCCCCAAAAAAGGGAAAAGTAAGAACTCGAGGAAGGCATAAGAGAGGTTACTGAATGCTAGGAGATACGAGCAAGGAAACATCGCACAAAGAGACTTATCTCCCACCCAATAATCCTCCCAAAAACAAATATATGTACCTTCCCCAATAGAGCATCTCACAAACTTAGAGAACAAAGGGAAACCTGAGGATTTCTTTTTTAAGGAAGCAAACCCTTCATTAAGAAAAACGAAAGAAAATACAAGGGTAAACAAAAAACCAACCCCTCAAAAGGAGTCCCGACTAGCATGAACTTCAATCCAAAAGAATAAAACCTAATTGATTAATTACAAAACGGTTTAGAAACCAAAGCAGCAAAGCCCATAAAGAGGTATTAAACCTAACAACCTCCCACACCTCTTACCTGGTCCCCTCCACCACCCTAAAAATATGTAACCTCTCAGACCATATATCCTACCAATAGCAAGTCTACCAAAGAACTCTGCCCTTGTCATGAAAGGGAGGAAAATGGAGAACCTCCTCTAACATAGAACAACAATCCCTATTACAAAAGCTTACGCGTAGCAACTCCATAAAGTCTGAGCGAATGAACAATCTCAAAGAATATGATCAAGATCCTCTAACGCACTCATACACAAAAGCACTACTTCATGCCTAACACCAAGGAGGAATGCCTCTAAATATGGTTGGAGGTGTTAACTCTCCCATGCAAAACCCACCAAGCAAATAATTTGACATTCTCTAGGATCTTAATCTAAGGGCATCCAAGGGGACAAAGGATCGAATAAGATCTAGAACAGAGAGCTACAATAAAAAACCCCTCGAAGGGTTGGGCCCAAAAATGAACATCCCTTACCTCTAGACCCAATTGAACGTCACCCAGAAGAGAACAAAGAGCAAACACTTCTACTGTCTCTATGTTTGATAAAGGACAATAGATGCCTAATGAAAGAGAAAGTTCAAGACCCAGAAAGGCATAATACGGGCCACGGAATGCAATTTCTTGGCTAAAAGCTAATATAAATAAGGTAACAAAGCACAAAGAGACTTGTCTCTCACTCAACAGTCCTCCCAAAAATAACATTTGTCTTACCCAAGGGAGACAAAATGAGAGAACAATGGAAAGCTTGAAGAAATAGCAGACCAGGGACTTTTTGAATAGCCTTTAGACCCATAAGCCAAGACCTGCTAAAAAGAGTGAGGACTGTATTTACTCACAATAATCTGCTGTCAAAAAGCATCTGGTTCCTTAAAGAAACGCCACAACCACTTGTCCAACAGGGCCTCATAAAGAATCCTTAGTTTGCCAATGCCCAAACCACACATAGCCAAAGGACGCAAAACGGTCTCCTACCTAACCAAATGGGAGCCACCCCCTTCATCAACTCCTTCCCATAAGAAGTCCCTCACGAATTTCTCTAGCCTTTTACTCGCCAAAAAACGAACTCAAAATAGGGATAGGAAATAGGTTGAAATCCCACGTAAGACTTATTAGATGAGAGTTAGTCTACTACCCCTTTAGACTACTACCCATTTAGAAAAGAAACCTTTATTCTAGGAAGATGGATGCTTTTGAACCTTTTCTAAGATTGTTCCAAACCAACGAGCTCTTCGAATTGCTCTCCAAAGGGAGCCCGATAAGAGGAAGGAAAGCTACTCACCGCACAGCCCACTTAAGAAGCACAATCATCTAGTTTTGAAGAATCTCAATGGATCCCCAAGACCAAACTCTTACCTCTACTAATCTCAAGGAATGAAATAAACTCAAAGAATGACAAAAGACCATTAAGATTAATGAAGGACCTTTCCTGATCAAACCAAAAGAAAGTGTGAAAACTCGAGATGAGAAAGAAGTGTACTATCCTTTCCCACCTTAAAGCCTTGAACCTTTTCTAATACAAGATTCTAAACCAACAAGCTCCTCGAATTGCTCTCCAAGGGAGCCCAAGATAAGAGGAAAAAAGCTATTCACCTCACAACCCACTTAAAAAGCCCAATCATCTAGTTTCGATGAATCTCAATTGATCCCAAGACCAGACGTTTACCTCAGCTGATAAGGATAGAAGACTGTTAAGATTAATGAAGGACCTTTCTTGGCCGAAACAAAAGAAGAGAGTCATCTGCAAACTGGGGATGAAAAGGAAGCATACTATCCTTTGGCACCCACCTTAAAACCCTCAATAGCATCCTTCTCCACACCCGATTGCTGAGGATGTCAACCACCAAATGAAAGAGGAAAGAGGACGGGGAACATCTTGCCTATGACACCTCTAAAGGTAAAAATCTTACCTCTAGGTCAACCATTGACTAGGATAGAATAGTTATCTATTCTTATATAGTATAGCATAGCATTCTAAGGGTTTTTAGAAAAGACCTTAGACCCATATAGTAAAGTCCACTCAAAAGGGTGTGAGTCGTAATTACTCGCGATAATCTTATGCCACAATGTTAACTCGGTAAAGAAGCGCCACAACCACTTGGTCAACAATGCCTCATTGCACAAACTCAGGTTACCAATGCCCAGCCCTCAAAATAAAAGGTCTGGATACCACCTCCCACCTAACCAAATGAGATCCTCCCCCATAAGAAATCCCTCATGATTTTTTCTAGACTTTTATTCATTGTAATTGGAATTCTAAACAAGGAAAGAAAACAGGTTGACGTCCCACTTAAAATTGACTAGATGAGAGTTAATCTTATCCTTCCTTTAAGGAATGCTATTTTCCGAGAAGAGAGGCACTTTTGTACCATTTCCCAGGCTGAATTCCAAAATGACAATATTTTTGGATTACCGCCCAACGAGAGCCTAAGGTAAGAGGAAGGAAGGCTACACACCTCAACATCCCACCATAGAAGCCCAAGAGTCCAGCTTCAAAGAATCGCAATTTATACGGATACCAATGACTGAAGTTCTTCCCTGTTAATCTTAAGGCATGGTCTCAAGAAGCATTCAAATTCACAAACGACTTTTCTAGAACAAAATAAAAGGTGTCATTTACAAACTGGAGCAAAAGATCAATTTTGTACCTCCCCACCTTAATCCCCTCAATAGCACCCTTCTCCACTCCTATCAAGACCCACTTGCAAAGGATGTCAACCACTAAGTTAAAATGAAGGGGAAAGGAGGTCATCTTGACAAGGATAGATTCTAGAAGCAAAAATCTTACCCCTAGGTTTTCCGTTGACAGGGATAGAGAAACTAACCGTCCTTATACAACTTCAAATCCAAGATCTCCATTTAAACCCAAACCCTTTAAAGAACCTTATCAAAGAAGTCCCAATCAACATCATCATAGGTTTTTCAAAATCTATCTTAAAAATCACCGCTTCTTTATTCGCCTCTCTCTAGTCCTCAATTGCCTCATTAACCATCAATATCAGATACAATTGCATAGTCAAAAGTAGCATTATTGTAGAATATCCCGAGAATCTGAGACATAGGCAAACGCATAGGCACAAGCTATGGGTACAGAATTCCCACAGGTGAACTTAAATTGATCTAAAAAAGTTCATATGAAAAATAAGATCACTCATCTGTATCGCCAATGTCGAGTATCAACTCCTACTAGTCAATGACAGTCTTACAAAAGACATCTAGATTAATATTTTTTTAGGTTATCGTCTATCAAAGAGAAAAATCTTAGCATAAACTTAAAAGGAAAACTTCAACACTTCATGTAATAATCTAATTCCATTTGTATGGCTACATCCAATAATCTCTAGCCCCCTTGTTTTACCTATAAACAGCAAAGCCAAATGATTTTAGAGATTTCCATATGTATCTCTTTCTTCAAATGGCCTTTCCAATCAAAGTATTCCATTCACTACAAATTAATTCTGGGACCCACTCTATTGAGAGCAAATATAATACTAGGGTCAACTTTAATTATAAGTAGGTTCTTAAAATAATCCACAACTCCCTTAGAGATAATTTAGTTATTTGAGATCAATTAGTATTTAAAGAACAGCCAATGGAACAAAACAGTGAAGAAACCCATCTAAACAAAGATTGAAGCTGCCATTCAAAAGTATATTTAATTTACAATCTACAAGATGCTATGCATCACACCCAAAAATATTAAACTGTTCACAATGGAACAAGCACTGCCTGTTGTTAGCATACTTTAAATATAAAACTATTCACAAGATTTCACCATAGGTCAACAAGATCTACCTGGGCCTTGTCTCCCGCAGGTGCAACAGCATCAATTCTACCAATTGAAGATAACTTAGTTCTAGTGTCAAAACACTCTACAGCTCCATCTTCACCCCCACAAGCAACTATCCCATGAATCTTGCTGTAATAATTGAGCAAATTTCCAACTTAGATAAAACATACGAAACTATTTAATTCACTGATCAATAAAGAAAACCAAATCAGTTAATATGAGAAGAGTAATGTAACAAGAATGGGATCCATTAACATTTGTTGTATCTTTTCACTTCATCGATGAGAAGTTTGTTTCTTGTTCGGAAAAAAAAAACAACAATAAGATAAACCATTACCTTCGAGAAACTACATTTATTGCTGAGGATTCAGTGTTGAGAGGTGAAAGAAATCGCCCCTACAATAAACCAAAGGCTTACTTATGAACTTATATGTAAAATTATCCCAATTCTGAGTTTGAAAAATATTCTTGGAAAACCACAAATTATAATAAATATATTCAGAAAGACATATAGCACATGACACATTAACATTATAATCGTATCTTTATACTCAACGTGCAGTACAAAAACAAAAAACTACAGTTGGAGTTTCAGCACATATGAAGTTGTGCTTAGGCCCTTTACTTCTATTTTACCTTATTGTATATAGTTACCGTTGGTATTTTTTATCTGTACATATTACCTTCCTCACTTATCCCTTTTTCGGACTTCCCTTTCTTTATTTCTTTCTTTCTCGTTTCTCCTCCCTGATTCATTTCTACCTTTCTTTATGAAAAGATGCTTTCATTGAGACAAATGAAATAATACAAAAAGGCATACATGAAGACAGCCAAGCAAAAGGAGCCGAATTAAAATAACATTCTTCAATCTAGCAAGATCAAACCTAAGGAATAATTATGAAAATCTTTGGACACTGAAGCACAAAAGGAAATTGAGCCCAAATCTCCTCCAAAATCTCTCAGCCCCTCTAAAACTCATGTTGTTTCTCTCATTTCACAAACCCCACAGAACAGCAGTTTGAGCAGGGTTTCTACCTTTCTTAAAGTTCAACATGTTTCACTTTCCTTTTACATGCCTCGTACCATTGGTATTTACTTGTAATAGGTTTTATTTATTTTGGGGTTGTATTGTTCTTTCGATAAGATATATGAAAAATAAGCATTCTATATCTTTTTAACTAAAAGCATGAACAAAGCTTCGTGGAACACAAAACCCACCCAAAAATCAGCACTTATGAATGATTACCGCAGGCAAAAAAATAAACTCTATGAATTTGAATTTGTTTTTATAGAAAACAGTATTTCTCAGTCTTCATGCCTTCCTATATTGTTATATTTATAGAACGTTCTTCTAAAAAGAATGCCATATGACAATATACTATCAAAGTTCAAATTAATCCATGCATTAATTGTTTCTCCAAAGCTACTAACAAGTCCCTAAAGAAATTGCCACGTAAGCTGCACATCATTATTACTGTTGTAGGAAATGTTTCATGGAATTCTCGTGCATCCTCATTATATGAATCTAGAAAATCTAACTAAGTCCTGTCCAATTTGCATCAGTTGATTCAGTTCAAAAAAATAATAAAAGAAAAAAAACTAAAACCTGTTGCAAATTGATTCTGTACACATCAGGAGAGGATGCAGCACAAAGCAAGTCAGCAGACCAGTAATCAAATTCAATATCCCTTCCCACCCTGTTGATTGCATAGATGACACGATTAGAGCTTAGTCATTATTTTTTTGGTAGAGATCAGTCATTCATATGAGACAGAAAAAGTGAAACCATCGGACTAAGGTCAATATGTAGCCATATATGAACTCTAACTATCCTTATTTAATAAGAAACTATTTTATTGAGAAAATAAATTTACAAAAAGTCTTAGAGCACAATTCCTCCAATATATGAAAACCATAGAAAATAGAAATGTCAAAATTGCATATTAGAACTCCTTTAGAGCACAATTTGCATCATTACATTCGATAAAAGGGATGAGGCAAGCTCCAATAGACAAATAGTGGAAGGAAAAAGTACTATGAAGATTTTATTTCAATAATTGAATCCCAAAAGGATATAACCCAAGGATTACCATTCAAGGGGAGGCCAATGTAGGAATTAGGCCACAAACCCCACTTTACAACCAATAAATTCCTTGGTAATCAAAGTGTTACTTTATTAATCTGGATTTGAAGGATTTCTTGTACTAGCTCTTTTGGGCAAGGGTTCCCTCTTCTGTATGTTGTGTTCTTTGTTAATAATAGTGTCTCTTATTTAAAATAGATGCAAGAATAATTTACAATTGAGAAATGGGAGGGGGGGTTGGAATTGTCAAAACAACCTTATAACAAAACAAAAAAGGGAAACAGGTTCTTATAAACCATAAGAAAGTAACCTTGGTATCCGCAAACTATAATGTTTTCCATATTTAGCATGGAGAACAATAGAACGATCAGCACACATAAATGCTAGCTTTGAGTAATCGTCATCCAGTATCTATACGACAAAAAAACATTAAATTCAGTTAATATTTCAAAATTCAAAAAAACAAACTACCTGCATAGCATGGCCTAATCAAATATTCAACTGTCTTCCATCCCCCACATTCAGATAAATTCCAAAAAGGGCAAAAAACATGTGCAAAAGATGAACAGGCTAATTGGGTAGCATTTAACTAATTTAAAGCACAAAGAAAAAGAAACCTTGAGCAATATTTCACAGAAAGAAATAAGAGCTGAAGAACAATTAAGCAAGATTTTTGGGTGGCCTTCTTGTTTTGTTCTTTCATTAAAGCTAATGGAAAATCTCATTTAAAAAAATATTAATGTCAATGAAAATTAATTTTCTTGTATAAAAAATATCATATCCAACCACCATGCATTCAGTCATCACAAACTGTTTGAAATCAGAGATTACATCAAAGGCCAACTGAGATTTCAGTATATAAGAGTGGCTATTTTATCCACAGGGAACAAGGTCTATATCAAGAGTAATAAAACTCTATATAAAGTTACACTGCAAGAGTTTTGGTTACAAGCATTTAGAAAAATGAAATTCTGAATTTCTTGCTTTCCCTCCATACAACATAGAATAATACTGTTTTTAATAAGAAACCACATGCATCAATAACATTTTATAGGTTCTGTGATAACAAGATTACTAGACAATTAGATGTTTGCCTGGTCCAAGTACGTGCTAAAGCCTGAAAACACAAGTTTATTTTCATTGATCCATTGTCCTATACTAGAAAAGGAGATATTAAAACATATAAGAGTCATATTGCTTAAAGATCACATCATTAAAGATGATAATAAACCCCTGGTTTTTATGAAGAACAGATATACTTCTGTTTCTGGTTGAAAATTTAACCTACCCCCCACCCCCACAGAAATCCAACCCAACCAAAGCTCCCCAACATAAAATTTACCTGGAAGTCAATTATCTCTGAATCAAAGTGCCTTTTGAACTTCAATGAGAGTTCCCTCAGCTCATAAACTTTAACTTGTGGTGGATAGATACCTATTTACATCTATACATAAGTAACAATAGATACTAGCAAAAATAAGTAGTTATCCTTTTACACTTTTTCTTACTAATCTTCTTACTGATTACTGATACTAATTTTAGCTTGCTTGCTCAAACTCACCTGATGCTATTAGAAACTCTCCATCAGGTGTTGCCTTTATTTTGCTTGTTGCAATTTCAAACCTCAAATCCTGGACCAAGTCCACCCTTGATGTATAATCTGACACATCAAGGAATGAAATTATAAGCAGCAACGGATGATGAAAACACAAACATAAATCTATTGTCTTCACACTTCACAGGAGGACAATGCTGCAGAAGAATGAGGATAAGATTTCATAAAGAAATTGTTGCCTGTTGGTCCTAAGTAAATAATGCAGAAAATCATGTTACATGGGCTACAAATATAATACGAAGAGTATTACTCAAAGCAAGAAACAATAGAACCAACACCCCAGTACCGAAATGGACAAGAAAGCAAATAATCGAGATCAGAAAGATTCCTGCTTGTTGAAATCTGTCATTGATGACAGTCGACAGAGCAGCCAATCCACCACGCCAGAAAACAAGTTTAAAAAATGCAGTTGTTACAACACAAGGCGAAGATGAACTTCTATGGCTGATCCCATAACACTTCAAGGAAACAAGGAAAAACTTGGCTACCATCATAGAGAAATGTTAAATTCTTGGTTTTCCAGGTAGTCTACAGAAAAACAGACAAACTACATTATATATACAAATATAGTAGACTGTTAAATAACAGCATACCAATGTAAATGACAATAGTGAAAAGGAAAATATCTCATTATTGAACTCCAAATCTCATAACTAAACTCCAATAAACACTTCAAGACGAAATAAAAAATAGAAACCTTAAGAGGGTTGATTGGTGAATTAGATAATGGCCAAAACCAATACAAGAACAAGGTAGTGTGACACTGCATAACCATCACTATTCCCATGTAACTGGCTCAATAAGCATGAATATAGAGACAGAACAGAAAAATCGTGTATTCATCAAGCATATTTTCATTTAACATTAATTTTTTTCAAGAAACAAAACTTCATTGAAGTAGAAGTCGATAACATGAGTTTCCCATAATGCAAATTATCTAATAGAGGCTAATAAAGTGAGTTTTGCACTAAGAGAATCATTCTAGGAAAGAAAAAGCTAGTCACCCTTGTCTTTGCGCAGAGCTCGCATCTTCTTAGGATCGAGCCAAGTAGCAAGAGACCGTTGCTGGGATGCTACGGTGTAGAGTTTCACCCCATTGATAGAGGTAGACTTGAGGTTGCCTCCTTCGTACGCCATTGCAGCAGAAAATGGACTGCGAGTGGAGCTAATGAGAGACGATTTTGGGGATTTCTCGGACAATCTCGCGCGAAAGCAAGGGAAAGAGAGGGAGCGACGGGGATGCGAGGGCGGAGATTGATACGCTCAGGAAGGTTCGAACGACTGAAGGAACAGAGCCGCCGCGCGGTGCGACGGCGGAGCGGCCGGAGCTGCGCGCACGGTGCGACTACGAACGGACGGAAGAGGGCGGCGGGAGACTATTATGGTGGGACTTGGGAGGAATGGAGAAGAACGTTGAAAAATAACCTAAAAGAAATTTTAAAAAATAAACTAAAATAAAAGAAAATATATGTGGAGATTCGGTTCGATTTTTATACTTCAAAACAAAAAACCGATCTAATATTTTGGTTTCTAAAATATAATAAATCAAACCAAACCATGACCAATTAAACTAATCTAATTAAGCCAGAATCAATCAAATCAATTAACTTAGTAGTAATTGGTATATACAATTTAGTTCGGTGTGACTCGGACTCGATTATATTCAAAATTTAGCGATAAAAGTTATAAATTTGAAATTTGACATAATTGAAACTTACTCTAAAATTGTAGACCTTGTGTGATTAATAAGAAACCTTAGATTTGATTTTGTTTTTGTTTTAAAAAATTATGATTGTTTCCTCACAATTTATTTGATATATCTTTTAACTTTCTCATTAACACGTTTAAATTCTTAATCAAATTTCAGAAGAAAAAAAAATTAGTGTTTGAAATTTGTTGTTTCAAAATTTTACAAATATTTTAAGATGCTTTTTATAACTATATAACATAACAAAATATAACACATAAGCGAAAGTAATGTTTCTAAGCTTAACTTTTAAAACATAAAACTAAAAACGAAATGGTTATCAAACGAGCCTAAATTTACCAAATCTAAGTATTACTCTTTGAATTTTGACCTTGATTAATAAAAATAATTTATTATCTTTTAACATATGATTTCATCACAATTAGTTTAGTTCAACGATAATTGGCATATGTCTCTAATCAATAAGTTACTGCTTGAATCTCATGCTCCCACTTATTGTACTAAAAAAAATATGGTTTCATCATAAATTTTCTAGAGACCATAGAGTTTGTGCAAAACTCACTTTCTCTGTTTTTTAGTTCTGTTTCATCCGAAGCTCCTTCCCTCCAGGAGAGTGATTCGACGCGATTTATCAACTTAGTGACTCTATATTTGACACTGGAAATCCAACTCGCAAAAAACTCATTTCTCCTTTTTCCCACTTGTCTTATGGAAAGCCTTCTTACACTGGTTATTGTTATAATGGCTTGCTAATGATTGATCAATTCAGTAAATTCTTTTAAAACCCTCATCTCTACTTTATATCTTAGGTTTTCAATTCCTATCAATAATATAATTTGCTTCTACTTTACCGCTGTCGCTACGGGTTTGCGACATGTAGCGGTCGACTTTATTTTCGAGAGGAGAAAAATGGAGTCGCCACCATTATTTAATTATAGGTGTTTATGCAAGGATATGCACAACAGTGTATTTCAGATTGCAGCTCGAACTCGGCCTCCGGACCGATCTGAATACTTGGACGGACCTGCACAAAAAGGTGAGCACTCCGACGATCAAGTCAGTATAGGTCGGATTCCCAGTTTAGTTCGAGGTCAGAAATCATCGTACCTGATCGTGGAGTGWRGYCCTCTACTTATRGGTGGTRGTCCCGCTAATCTCGCGAYGGTTACAYYCGMTAATCTCGGGACCGTCGGTTACACCCGGTAATCYCGGGACCGACGGTTA